TGGAGCCTTAAGGCTTTATTTCTCTCTTTTGGCAGCTTATCAACTGGATTTTAAACTCAGCATGGTAAAAGTGTAGATTTAGTGTAAAAGGTTTGTGGCGAACTGAATTTATGAGATTTTAAGAATTTTGGAGATTTTCACCTTTTGGTGCTCCTGATATATCATGAGAAATTATACAACCACAAGCCCATAATTTTCTGTCTATTAAACTAACGGCAGGAAGTCAAAGGTTGGGTGTGCAATTTTCTGATGTTCACTGCTGCCATGTGCCAGGAGAACAGGCAACAGAAAATCCCCCAATCACCATACTTACATCTGGCACAGTGTCACAAACACACAATGGAAGCAGTGCTTACCATCTACAAGACGAATGGCAGCAAATCGCCAAATTTTCTCCGACGTACCTAGGAGAAAGCCAGCAAATGTGATAGGAGCACCACCACCTGCACGTTCTTCTCCAAGCCTCACACAAACCTGGAAATATATCAGCATTTCTTCAAAGTCACAAAGTCAAAATCTTGAGACTCCCTTTCAAACAGTTCTGTGGGTGTATTTACTCCACATGGACAGCCGCACCTCACCATCACATTCTCAAGTGAAATTAGTGTTGGATGAATCTATGACATGGCCACATCCTATGAAAGAATAAAATCACAAATTGAGCTTAATATAAAAGTATTTACACTATGGATTGATAACCAGTTTCTAAAAAAAACATTTTAAGTTTTATTTTAAAAATGTTTTAGTTAAATCACTTAAATATTTAAATGTGGTAGTTAAATAATTTCACAGCCTAAGATTATAAAGGATGATGGTTATTCATAATTTCTAATGGCATTGAGAACAACTTCTGTTAATAGTTGCGTTCATCTGGTCTTAACCCAATTATTAAGGCAAACATTAAGCACAGGCTTAATGAGCCAAGGTAAAGAAAAGCTATGAATTGTTGAAAGGATTTAATAATGCAACATCAGCACCCTAGGGTTCTACAATCAGTGTAGGACTCCATTTTGCATAGTGAGGGAGTTTCATGCCTGTTTTAGGTAGGCCTGCTGCTCACCATTTATAAACTCACTTGCATATGGCCTTGGGCAATAGTGTGACAAAGGTGCCTCCACCACAATTTTCAACTTCTATCTGTTCATTTACTGGGACACAAAGTGGCTGGTTGTGTTTAAATATTTTACCCTCCAGTCTCTAATTGGTCTGAGGAAATGGAATCCAAGGAGCATAACCACTCAAACTACAAAAATGTTTTCAAGACTGAGCTGTAACAAAGAAATTCCAGTTAAAGCTAATGTTTCTCTTGAATATGTAAAAGCTTATAAAATGAGTCTGGTAGGCCAAGAGATTGTTTATAGCCTGTCATTCAAGCTCTTTGATCCATGCTCATATTTCTGGCATTTTGGTGCAAAATTTACAGCAATGTGTTCCATCACTTGAAGTTTACTGCTACATAGGGATTTACCAACACCAGAATAGGCCTTAGTAGTGCAACGATGTTTATTTACGACGGGATTTTCAGCCAATATTGTCAATAGATTTCCTGCTAAGCACAGCTCAGTGAATTTGCTTACTCTTTGGCTTACAAAGTTGTTGGCATGGCAGTCAAGTGAAAGAGCCTTTGCAACTGTTAAAGGTCTTTACCACTGCATGGAAGTTTAGAAATTTTCTTTGAAGTTGCTAGTTATATCGCTTTTGGATTCTGAAATTTGAATTTATAACTATTGATTACCAACATTGCTACTGAAATTTATTATTGAAAGATTCATTCCATCCACTCACTGAGGTGTTTTTTTTTGGCCTTACCCTCACTTTTCTATCCTTTTCCCTCTGCAACATTCAACACCTGACAGTGTCTAGGCTAGGAAAGATGTATCTTACCATCGATGACCTTTTGGTAAATTGCACGAATTCAGACATGAAGTATTATCTTTGTTGAAAAAGAAAGTGTCAATTCTAGGAATATGTAACAGGTCCTTCAGCATCTGACAAACATCTTGCATATATAAGAACATAAGAAACAGGAGAAGATGTGGGTCACTTGATACCTTGAGCCTGCTGGGTCATTCAATAATCTCATGGCTGATCTGATTACGTCTGTAGTTCTATTTTCCTACCGGCTGCCACCCTGTGCTCCCACCACCCACCCTCCACGCCCCACCAATTCCATTCCCTTCAACTTTGACCATAACAGACCAGAAACATTCATGTGTTTTCTTTCTCTCTTCAAGTATTAATAAATCTCATGATGTTAGTTTCCAGCACCGCTAACACATTATGGGTGAATTTTCGACCACCAATCCTTCTTACTGGTATTTGTTGAACTACTGATACCAAGTGGGAAAGGATGCCCACATGATGCATTTGGAAGAAGATGATTTTAGTGCTGATTACACAGGAAGGTTTATTCTTAGCAACTTTGCATTATATCTAATATGCAGGATTGGCTTTTGTGATATATCAGGATAATCTTAAGAGTAAATGCATATTACTACCTTAGCTACATGTTATATCTAAGAACAATCACTGATGTTCAAGTTAGGATATTCTACACAAGACTGGTTGACACCGCCCAGAAATCGTCCTTTCTATCCTGATTGGCAGAGCTTATCTCATGACGTCAGTTAACCATTTCAAGTTCTTAACTGTTTTATAAAACAGTAAACACGCAGTGTATTTCAATTTTAAATATTTAGATTTTCAGCTTCCTTTGTTTGTTTTTCTTTTGCTTTACAACTTTTTTTAAACCTTTCACCTGTTAATGAAAATGTAGACAGCCAAAGTGTAAACAGCCACAGAAATATGGTGGAGGCAGGTTCAAACGAGGCATCAAAACAGCATTGGATGATTATTTGGATAGAAATGGTATGTGGGGATAAAGGGAACAGGCAGGAGATTGGCAATAGGTAATAATACCAGTCTAGGCACAATGGGCTGAATGGCCTCCTTCTGCACTGTAACAATTTTGTAATTATGTGAATTAGAATAACCACCTAATCTGATTGTGGTTGCAGGCAGAATAGTGATTTGGAGATCTGTGGGCCTTCTCCTCTGTTTCAAATATTGTGTTGTGGTGGGTAACAATTAGGCAGATACTCTGTGATCCAGGAGATAGCTCTGTCAATGTGGTACTCCATGAATATTGGAATTTTGGCTTAAATTATATATTGAAATCTTTAATTGAGACTTAAAGTCAGGACCTTCTATTTCAAAGTCAACAGCCTACCAACTCAGTGCACCAACCCTCGTGGAAAAGGTAAGATTTTAATCCCTGAGTGTGTATCTGTGAGATGTGTTAAAAATGTTGTAGCCATAAGAAATTCACTTCCTACTATAGTTGTAATTGGGTTAAGATTTTCAATATAAGTTAAAGTAGGTAGTAATCCATCACTATAGGATTTCGGAATCAATGCTTATAAATTAATCTAATTTCAGTGTCTGTTTTCTATCCTTTTCGTATATATTTCAGGATAAACGTAGCATTCATTACATCATCTGGAAATTGTCTGGGAGAAGTTACTGAACTAGGCAATGCAAGGACGTTAAAATGCTGTATAGAATTTAAATAACTGTGTTCCCAAACGCACCTTTGGCTAATGGTGTATCTGCTCCTATGTATTGCTTGCTCTCCCGCTAGCCAATTAGACTATGGTTAGGGCAATTGATTTGATGCAGTGTTTGTCGCAACTGAATCAAAGCTCTGACGAAGAATGTCAAATTCCACTATATTTTCTGCAAAGTCTGTATGGTACTGTTTTGGACCTTTGTACTTCCTTATATTTGATTTATGAATAAAGTATTATTTTGCAAACAGAAAAGTGATTTGATGCAGTGTTGATAGACTGGAACAAATCGTACAAACTTATGCATTAACCTACAAGGATTTTCCACGCCTGCAATGGCCTCCCCCCGTTATCGTTCCATTCATTTGCAAGGTTATGGAGAAAGTTCGGGAGACTGAGTAATTGGATAATACGTGCAAAGAGACAGCACGATGAGCCAAACAATTCCCTTTTCTGTTGTAAGATTCTATGATACAAAAGCAGTTGGTAGAAATTGCAAATTAGCCAACTTATGGAGTTCTCATGCATCGGAGTCCAGTTTGGGCCTCAGGAACCACGTTCTGCCTTAAATTTTAGTGAAACTTTAGGGCAGTCCATACATCGCAAATCACATAAATGATCACAGACCCCATTTTAAAAATGGGAGACCTCTGAACAGCAGAGAAAAATTCAGAACCATTCTAATTCTAGGTAGTTTTCCTGTCGAGTACATGTGTAATGTTACCATTTTGCCGATCGAATCGTTTGTTTTTAAACCTGCCCCACCTCTGATGACTGTGCTTTCGGCCAGTTAAACTCTGGACCACTATCCCTACACTTCTCCTTTCTTCTTTCTCCCCTGTTTCATTAACAGGCTCATCAAAACCCATCTTTTTGATCAAATCATTTGTCCTTCTTCTTTGATGCACTGTCTTTTTTTTCCAGTTTGTTTGATTACCTTTAAAGAAATAAATTAGGTTTCGTTATAACTTTAAAGACACTGCGTGTATGCAAGTGGACTGGGACGTGTTGAAGTCGTGGCAGGTACTATCCAATCTGAAGAAGGGTCTAGGCCCGAAACGTGAGCCTTCCTGCTCCTCTGATGCTGCTTGGCCTGCTGTGTTCATCCAGCTCTACACCTTGTTGTCTCTGATTCTCCAGCATCTGCAGTTCCTACTATCTCTGAAGCAAGTCTTAGTGTTATTTCTTTGCCTGCATGACGCTATGATTTTGGAAAACGGGGAAACGGGGCCGCGCGATGGCGCTACAAGAAAATATATTCTTCCTGACAATCCAGAAGTCTCCGGTTCCTTTATCACACGACCCTCCACGGCTCTCTCCCAGCGTTCAAGTGTGTTAACAGAGAGATTGATCAACTTTTATTGTTATATGTGTTGCTGGCCAGGTTTGTGAACGTTGTTTTTTTTTTAATCCCCCAAGAATGTCTCTCAGCTGTAAGGCATTTTAGAATTTTTAATGTCCACATATACAGATTACATGTCTGGTCACACGAGATACACAAATGCACGGACATAACTGTAGATGTATATATAGAGAGATTGGAATGTGATTTCAGCAACTTAGAACAAACGATGAGTTCACGTGTGAATTTAACGATCTATTTACATCAGTGAAACTGTCCATGGTTTTTCAAAAAAAAAGTAATCAATACTTTAAAAAAAATCAAGCTCCGTAACAAAAAAAAACCTGCAATGGAATGTCTACGTGAAATCAGCGCTGTCAAGAAACAAGAGGAAATAGTGTGCAGAAAGTTGGAGGAAATAATGAAGAGAACTCGCATCGAAACGGAAGTGGGCATAATAAGTACAATAACTTTAATAGAATGACATCCACATCCTTTGGGAAAAATATACTTCTTAAATGGCACAACACTCTTTAAAATAAAACATATAAATTATACCTACGTGAACGTCTTCGTATGCACTTGCTATTAGTAGTTATAATTCTGTGATATCCTCCTTAATAATGCGACAATTGCATTCCACTGACCACACTATTCACAAAAATAACACGGGGACACGCCTTATGGTGATGTGATTGTCAGCGGTATTTTGTGTCTATTTTGCATGAACACAGGATTTCAGAAAGTCTGGACCAGAGTTTGATCTGTCAATTTATTTCCTTGTATTGGAAATAGTTCTTTTTTAAAAAAAACTTTAATCTGGATTTGTTTTTAAATTCGGAATTTTCTGCTCGTTAACGTCTGGGTTTTTTTAAAAAAAAGATTGCATTTGGGGCTCGCTATTTATTTGCACTGCAATTACAGCGTTAAATAACACTGATAATCCGAGAGGAACAAGCTTTCAAATAAATTACACCCCAGGTCTGAAATGTCAACTTTGAAACATTGCAGTTTCAGTTGTCCAGGACCTCGGGAGTAAAGCGACCTGCGGTGGGTCTACACGATTAAACCTCTCCGCCTATAAACTAGACTACACATTCCAGGCCTAAAATGCAGGCCGTGTTTTTTTTATTTTTACTGAATTATACAATATCATGTAGACTTCATACACAGAATAAAAGAGCATTTCATTTTGGCCATCTACAAAAAGGTACAAACCATCTCGTCTATAAATCCACATGAATTACATTTGTATACAGTGCATAAGATTATGTTAAAAGTCAGGTGTCAAAATATCGATTTTTTTGAAAATCTTCCCAATGCCAAGAAACACTAAATTGTGTATTTTTTCAATACATATTCAAATTTTAAAAAAGGTTAGAATGACTTTATTTTTAAAAAAATGCATGTTAAGGCTTGGTTTACATTATATGAAACAAAAACACTACAGGAACGGCAAATATTGCCAACACACTGCACCATTGACTTATTTTACAATACTGATCAGTTTTAGAGGCTATGCGGTGTTTTATTTATGATGGGTAGCTAAAAATTAGAATAAATAGGAACTATTAGATTGAGCTTCGCTGAAAGTGCCTTCACAAATGGTATTTTTCTCTCTCTAGTAATAATTCTGGATCCGCTTAATGTATTAAATAAGGATCCAAAACAATGTTTCTATGGACAAGAACGCACCGCTGCTGCGAACTATCGAGGTGCAAGACCGGGGATGGTGGGGTTGGGGAGAGCATATTCCACTGATTTTTCTAGATAGGATCACATTACACACGGTTTGATATCTTGGTAAGTCACTTGCTGGTGATAGTAAGATCCATTAGTTGATGGATGCATTGAAGGGGACGTCATGGCGTTGAAAGAGAAGACGAATTCTTTCCTATCACACATGCTGGGAGACTGCGAGTGATATCGTGGAATTCCTATTAAAAGAAAATGGGAAGAGGAGAGAAAAAAAAAACACACCGAGATGAAGAAATGCCATTCAAGAGAATGTATTTAAACACTAAGCATTAAAAAGGCCCGCCTAGTAATATCTTGCTTTCAGGCCAGGTTGTGAAGAATAAAATTAAAATGGAAGTTCCCAAATGTTTACAATACTTTCCAATACTGTGAAAGACACATCTTTTAATAGAACATCTGTAATTCAAACAATGGATTCGCGTAAAGGATTGATTATAATATGTTTATCAGAGACCAATAAATGTTACCATAAGTCACCACCCAACAATGTATCATTTTTTTTCCCTTAAATCAATGTTCATAAGTTGGATGCAATAAATCAATTGTCATTGTTAAACTATCCATTCACTAATATTTAACTTATCCAAGCACAAAGTAGGTATCTGGGATTATTTGCATGTCAAAATTGCATCCTAGTTTTCCCAGCAAGTCAGCTCATATATTAAGTCCAGTTTAGATCAGAGGATAGATCTCTCTGTCTTTCTTTCTGATAATTTCAAAGACTGCTCGAGGAAAACTGCCGCCCGGTCAATTGAATTTCCCCGGCCTGATTTTCTTTTCGCCTCGCAATGAAAGATGCTCACTGTGATTTGTACGGTGAGGCTGAAGTCGAGACATTACGATTAGTTCTTAACTAAAACCCAAGTTTTGCAAGTTTTCATGCCCACATATTTAAACACCGCGTCAAAACTGCTTTACTTCATCTCAAAATGAAATTCCCCCACGTGGTCTAATATTTTGAAATTTATCACGGTCAAAATATTAGCGGTCACATAGATGAATTATTTCCGTTGTATTTACAAGTTACTACTGGCCGCCTGCTTCAATTTTCTTGGTCCATATACTTTCATAGTGCAATATCAGTTATATCAGTTAAACCGAATCTGTTCGGAAAGGTGAAGTAAATTTTCTTGATCTATATACTTTCATAGTGTAATATCAGTTATATCAGTTAAACTGAATCTGTTCGGAAAGCTGAAGTGCCATATTTAATATCATTATACTGCTGGCCACTGCAAGATGAGCAACTTGTATATCACAGAAAAAATGCTTCCACAGGGGAAAATATGATTTGCGGATTTATTTTACGCCATTAATTTGTGGTTATTTTTATTCACAAAGTAGACCTGGGTTTAAAGTTGGCTTGCACCTAAAATGAGAATCTGTTCCGGTCCAGTGGGGACATAATGTATCTGCAGTTACTACTGGTACACAAGCGTTAACTCGATGTCTGTCAGAGTGGCGGAAAGATCGACCAGGTCAAACCGTTTGTGGTTAGACTTTAAAAGCTGCTCCTAATATGGACCTGTTTAAAACAGTAAGCAGTTGAGGTTTTTTTCAAACGTAGAATATTTGCTATCGGGTCGATTTTTAAACATTAAATATCCCCGAGAAGATGCTCAGAAACTGGAATATCTTTCTCAGCATAACTGAGAGTGGGAACTTGGGCTACTGGAGAGTTACTATTCCACCCCCACACTGCAGATTCACACAGTTAATCGGGTTCCTGGCCGAGTTGCTCTGGGGGCTGAACTGCACGCAATGAATCCCCAGTAGACGGTTTCTGCGGCAGGGAGTCGGCCCTTTTGCATTCTGATGTTGTTATTGCCGTCGTGTTGGCACCACAGCAAGCACTGTCCCTGCGGGGATGGCATCGAGATGTTTTCTTTGACCACGTTTTGGAATTTGTTGGAAAAACAAAGGCCGGTTTATTCTTTTTTAGTTTGTTAGCATTGCAGCCTAGTAACCAATTACGTGCGCCGAGAGGAAGCGAAAACGACTTACTTCCTTAACTTAATGACACTTGTGAAACTCTTCTCCAAGACAACAGCTCTAAATCCAGTCTCTATCAAATTCCTTCTAAATCTTACTGGTGCATAGCCTCCTAACACTTTACACAGAGGGAAAGTGCACGAAAAGCATTACTTTTTCTCTTTAATAGTTTTTCTTTTTTTAAAAAAAGTGACCGAATTAAGTTTAAGCAGCAACATTAACAAGTCTTGGTTTTAGAATTGCTCTCACTCCAAAAGCAAAACACTTTCTTTGGAACGACTGCATTAGAAGCGAAGCTGCGTCAAATAATTACTTGAAATCTTATCTAAGCCCTTGTTTTCATTAAACCGCTTGAGCTCCAAGTGGCTTCTTTCTCTGATCCCTGTTTTTGTTGCTTCCTGTAGCGCTGTTTATTTTAGACAAAATGACTTGCCACCAGCTCGAACACAACAATAAAACGGGGGGGTAGAAGGAGAAAAAAATAATTGCTTATGAAATTATGAGTTCCACATCTGGATTGACTCGTCCCAATAGCATGGAGCAGAAGTAAGTTCAACCAGACTATTGCGTCTGCTGCATTCTACGTACATTCTTTAAAAATCAGATTAAAATTAGATTACTACGTTAGTTTATCACTTGGCAATATACTGCTGCTCTGTCGTTTGTACGTAAAGTACCTCCCGCGATTTAAGAGCATAAATCTTTCTTGCTAATGGCTATCTGTAATACTCTAGCTCTGTACCTTGTATATCGGTCGCATTGTGGCTATTTTGGTGTAAATAGGACTGGTCTAGGGAATGTGCTTGCAGGTTTGAAGTTAGATTCGCCGAAGGGTTGCATGGTGATAGAGACTGTTGTTTGATGTAAGGAGCCCCGTTGTTGAGTGCAGAAGCCGGGGGTGCCCACGCCGAAGCGGTGGATGTATACATGGAGTGAGGTTCCATCACCCCACCGCCGGTCAGCAAGGGAGAGGCGGACACTGAACTGTCGGCGTGGTTGGGGTAATCTCCCACGGAAGAGCCTGTACAACTTCCCATATAGTGCCCGTTGTTGGTCGACAGGTGAGAGACCGAGTGTCCTGGTAAAGCCATCCCATCAACGTTGTTGGGCAGATGTCCATTCATCATGCTGATACTACTGTCTAACGAAAGCCCGTTTGGAGCACAGGAGATGGGCGCTCTGGAGCCCTGGAAGTTGTAAGTCTCTGGGATGTGGTTGAAGCCCAATCCGTTCATCATGCTGTACATGGGCTTGAGCGCTTGGCACTTCCTACGAAAGCCCCTGGGTCTGCGTCTGAAGGAACCTTCCTCAAACATGAACTCGCTGGCCGGGTCAATGGTCCAGTAATGGCCTTTCCCAGGTCTGCCCAGGCCTTTGGGCAGTTTGATGAAGCACTCGTTCAGGGAAAGGTTGTGACGCACCGAGTTCTTCCAGCCTTGGTAAGAGCCCCGGAAGAAAGGGAAACGGCTCTGCAGGAACTGGTAGATCTCGCTGAGGGTCAGCCGCTTGGTAGGAGCGCTCTGAATGGCCATGACAATTAGAGCTATGTAGGAGTACGGCGGCTTCTCAGGGCGTCGGATGCCAGCGTTTGTTTTCTTGGTTTTGGTGGTGGAGATGGCTGATTCCATCACAGAGGTCTGATTGTTGGCTTTCTCGGGAGATGCAGACATGGGGCTGCTCTGGGCCGTGCTGTGAGCCGGCGGCTGCGGAATCTCGGCCGTCATTCAGGAACTAATGTCGCCGGGCGCTCAAAACTCCGAAAAAAAAAATCGCCGGCTCTGAACCTCCGTTTTTTTCTTTAGTTCTTTGATTCAACTCCGCCGTTTCTTCAATATTTCCAAAAGTAAGGTTTCAAAATAAAATTCTTTGTTGTTGTTGCTCTAGAATGTTTTTTTTAAGAAAAAAAGACCGGATCTTTCCCCCACCCACCACCAAAAAAAAGCACACACACACACAAAGTCAGCCGAATGCTGGGGAGGGAGCCTTGGCGCAGTTATTTCTTCAACTCTGTTACTTTTTGCCTGGGTCGCCTGCACAGGGAGCAGCTTTCCATCGCAGTTGTTCTGGGATCTGCCACGCCAAAGAGATCGCGTTTACTTATCTCTTGTCATCAGCGTCTCGAACCTCTCGACTGTCAAGACGTAAGGAACAAGGAACTCCCCGCCCAGACCCCCCTCCCACCTCGGTCAGGACTGGTGGGCTGTGAATGCTCCTCAACACCCGCCTTCATTAGCGATTTGATGTGGTGTCTGTCTTTCTCTACGTAATTCAAACCAGCTACAATGTTTGGGGGCGGTGGGGGAATCTCTATGTAGATAGATTTATATATCTCCACACACACACACGGATATTAAATACAGTTAGTTCATTTAAATGGAAACATGAATAAATATAAATATTAAACCATGAACAACTTTTTAAACCACAAAGAGCGCAAAACTGACTTAGAATTATTTAATATATATATAATTTTTTAAGAATCAATCATTTCAAAAGTATTCCCGTGAGGAACGTTGATTTCAGGCCGGCAAAAATGAAGTTGCAGAATTGGTGGTCTAATGAGATTTTTTAAAATTTTAAGACGTAAAATTAAATCTCATAACAGGACGGGATGTTTATTGTACTTTATGAATTAGTTTATATATAATTTTGAGAAATCGTTGATAATAAATTACGATTAGATTTTCTGGTATTTAGAATGTGGATCAGATACACATTCTGTCCCTTGTTTGAAAACTGATGTTTAATAGACAGGAACATGTACAGGATGTTTATACAAAAACAATGTAAACATCTGCAATCTGCTCCTTTAAAGAAATTTCAGTGAAATCCCATTTAATACTGTTTCTTTTCTGTTACTTATAAAATGCTCTTTTGTAGCCTCACGCCTGACTGTTTAGATATTCTCTTTATATATGTATACATAAATAAGTCATTGCAAGCTGAATTGTGCCCAGTTTCTGGCCCTGCACAGACTTTGCCACACACACTCCGAGAGAGAGAGAGAGGGAAAAAGCAGCGACGTGAACGAGCAGCCTCGGCGCCTGGCATCGTTTGCAATAACGTGTCGCATCTTTTTCTAAAAAAAACTAAGGTAAGAGACATCACAAATATCTCCGCACTTCTTCTACACAGTGTGAAAGATTTTACTTGATTAGAAGACAAGAGTGAGAAAAACTTGCTTTCATTCGGCGTTCTGGTTTTAGAAAATGCCACTCTCGCTGGTGGTTGCCATAGTTCAAAAAGATGAACTACAAAAGCTAATGTGTGCGACACGACCAGACGGCGCCTGTAACCCTGATTTCCCCCCACCTCTCTTTCTCTGGTAAGATCACGAAATTGTTTAAAAAAAAGTAATTCATCTATATAACGCCGGACTTCTAATAAGGCTGGGATTATGTTGGGGAAATGTTATTTAATGCAAATAAAATTGAACTCTAAATTCCTTGGGAGAACTACACCTCTGTAAATCAAATCTTGAAGAAAAGTGTGATTTTCAAGGGACTTTGCATCTAATTTCGCCTGAGAGTTAACTTCAAATTGAATGTGTTGCACCTTAGAGATTCTGTAACCGAGTTGCTTTCTTTTTTCAGCGAAAAGTAAGGTTTGCCGTATAGTAAGAGATTTAATGTCACTTACTACACGAAACATACTTTCCAAAGTAGCGCGGCCAAGGACCCGCCAATTGACCTGTAATAGTGATTTGCAACAAATGTATGTTATATTCCTCGTCAATGCATAGACCCTATTCACAGCTGTCCCATCAACATTGAGCATTTTCTACGGGTCTGAATTGTTGTGTTTCTCGCAAGAACACAATCACATCACAATGTTAAAACAAAGTCGTGGTTTACAAGATCACATCCCTAATGTAATCTGGCTGCAAAGAGCTAATTCGTTTTTGTTTTTAAACGATGGAAATCGGGAATATACTGCACTTAACGACTTAAGTGGTAGTATCCCTAGCTTTGGCAAAAACATAGTATGGTTGATAGCAAAAAGAAAGCAAAACTCAAAAGAAAATGAAACACAACAGTTAACAATATTGCAAGGAAGCGTTGGTGCAATGCAACTAGAGTATGATACTTGGAGATGTATTTGTGTTTAAACATATTGGCAAGTAGGGTAAAAGCAAAACTATAAAACTTGTTGAATTCCTCATGAAACCTCGACAGGAGTTCGAAAGCCGATCTGTGTATTCCAGTGGATAAGACAAATTGGAAAGTTATAAATACACGCTGCATTCAAGTGACACGTTTCCCTAAACAGTTTAGAGATCCTTTTGTTAATACATAAGGTTGATTATTGAACAGACTGTTGTTAAGTTGTCTTTCGATCTATTATACTTCAATTATTTAATTTCCTTGTTTTGATAGTCTTTACGTCAACACCTTTTTGTAATAATATTATACCTGTATGTTGAACTGCTGTTCTTTGATGATGTTCACACGCTTCGTCCACACGCATTCAGGCTCTTTAACCATCAGCAGAATTGTTACAAAAAATTTATTTCGAGTAAGTAAGGAAAAGATCCAAACAACAAGAGAAAAACGTTAGGATTTGTTGGCGCACATTAATTTTAAATTAAATTCCGGTCTCATGCACATTGTTCTAATCATATATAATTTAAACACAAAATATAGAAAAGTTCAGTGATTTATCTAAGTACCAAAGAAGGTTTCAGCTTTATTTGATTGAACGAAATGTTCACACTAGAATGTACAGTTTTAGTTGCGTGCATTGATGACTGTCGCTCGATAATGTTTTACAACTTTGACTGTAATAGACAATAGTTTTGTAGATTCTCGTTTTTTATATTGTGCAGAGAGCTTTCCGCTTAAAATGCAGAATCGATAAATAAAGAAGCTGTACAATGTATCTATGGAGAAAAAAGTTTTTTCTTAATCGTGAAAACTCATGGTCTGAGATCACCGTTGATGAGTGCACTCGTTTCAACAAAATCTGATTTAAGTGCATGTGGATGAACTGACTGTGCAATATTTTCTCATGCCCATGGTACAATATGATCTACTGGGTCAATATTGAAGTTAATACCGCGCTTATTGAATTTTAACAATCTAAAATTATACATGTGCATTTTTTTTTAGCATCGTCTGTTATAAAACCAACTCTTTTGGGAAGTCAGCGTTTTACATTTCCCATCCCACCCTCTTGGGCCTGTTTGATCCCCCCCCACCACCCCGCCTCCCACCACCGCCCATTAAAAAGCAGTTTCCGTTTAAGATCAAATTCGGCACCGGCCGAGTCGTGTTGATTATATTCGAGATTGCATGGGAGGTGCAAATAACGTTAATAAAAGGGGTATTATGCTGTGCAGAGACCCAGGTTTGGGTGAAGTTATTGTAAACAGGCTGCGCAATCAGTGACCCTGTTAGCCGGGGCCAGGCATTTATCAGCGCTCAGGGGGCTGAGGTAGAGAGAGGTGCCGAGACCACCCACCTCGCTGGAATGGAGGCACGCGTGTGCCCCGTTCCACTCCCTGATTTTAATTAGCAACCCCCTACCCCACCCCCAACAAGTATACACACCGATCACCTTCAACAGCGAATATTTAAATATAAAACCCTCCCTAACTTAGAACTTGAGGGCAGCCATGGAAATTGATCCCTCAACGTTTATACAAGACAAGGGGGTAGTGACAGGAGTAATTCCATCAACTGTTATACGTTTCTTTTCCCCCCATGGTGGTGACAGAGTAATGTAGTGTCTTCTTAATGGAGGCACAAGGTCGGTTCATGAATAGCATACACACACGCACGCACACGCACAAATGCCATCTGGAAAGAGGGACCCAGGATTGGAAACTAATTGGTCCATCCCCTCTCCCCGCTTTTCGCCATATGCTGTAAGCCGTACTTTTGCTCATCATTGTATTCAGTAAAAAAAAGCCCTAAATCAGGAGTAACAGTGAAATGAATGAGGCACATAAAACAATAGGATGAAGCATTTTGCCCAGTAACGTGAATATCAAAACAAAGGGAGGTCATTTTGTACAAGGTCAATATTTTGATGTGTATTATAAATGATTCTACAATACACAGTAAAGAAAATAGTAAAAAGTATCTTCCTGGCTGCTTTCTTGTACATTGCTCTTGGTAATAGCTTATTTTGGTTATGTACTATCTATGCAGGATCATAGCAACCCATGCATTAGGCTGAAAGACTTGATGGCGCATGATGTTCTCTTAACTGGACTTTATGAGATGGGAGAGATTAGGGTACCAGCTGACGTGGAGGAAATGCTTTCCCAATTCAGCTGTGTTTTCTGTTGCTGAAGTAGTATCAGGGGTGTGTTGACAGGGGAGCAAACGTACTGACGTGTTAATACAATTTAAGTTAATGCCGCAACACAACTGGCGAGGTCTTGTTACTGAATTTTAAATCTTAAATACACTTGAAACACCACGAAGTGTACCACGTAATTGAGGGTGGTGTGAGGAGACACACTGAGATCTTTCTCATGTTGTAAATTATAATCTCGAAGAGAGCAGGAGCATAATATTTGCAGTGACCATACAAAATAGTAAATGCTTGTTTCTAGTTACTTAACCAAGGTACAGCAAGCATTTGAAACAAAGCGAATTGGAATGGATAAAATACATTGACTTGGTGATAAGGTGCATTTGCTACTTCACCTTATTTCAACAACGAGCATCTCATCATATTCCCGTTAGGTGCTCTAGAATTTAAATTTGTTTACAAGGGTTCCTCTTGAACAGGCATGAGTTCCATAGTCCCCATTTTGTGACTTAGGAACAGGTCACATCCTCACAGATTTCATTGACAGGGAGTCTTGTTCGAACCCTATACTTGGTAAAGGAGATGGATGGAGTCCAGCAGAGCGTTAACATTATTTTACAGTCACTAGTAACAAAAGCCCCAGCTATAACGTTTTGGCTCAGAAAAACTAAATTTCTTTTGTGGCGTCCCTCGCTCGACCTATTCCGGCTGGCTCTTCAGTCGAAGGGACAGATTTTCCATGACGTGATTGCACAAAATATGTGACAACTCTGTAGTTGAGGGAATTTACAGCCTCTTCCACAGTTTTATGATCTGAACTTGTATCGCCAGCATTAAACAAAAAGCACAATTCGAGTCTGCTTTAACACAAACATTGGCACGTCAGTCAACAGACAAAATATGTAATTACTGGCAGTTTTTTCTATCATAATTCCAAACTGTAAAAAGGCTGCCAGTTAAGGCACACACGATAGTATCATTCATGAGCCGTTCTTGCTTCCTAAACGACATCCAAATATTAGGATTCGGGTGTTGACAACCTCCAAGTATTAAAATGCAGGAACGTGGTCCAAGTGTGTATGCGTTATAATACAGAAACGAATGGGGTTCGTGATCATGACTGTAAGGCATGTGCAGCCGATTTTGTCCCTTTACCTGCTCAAAGGCATTGTTGTTCTTGAATGAAAGTTTCATTGGGTTTCATGAGCGTGCGCCAATATTCCTAGCGACGATTAGCCTTCTTTCGTTGACTCTAAGCTTGTTGCGTTAAAGGTGCCATGAATCTATCCATCTCCCTCGCGCAGGCCAAAGCCTGGTAAAACTGACCTGCAACTACTTTTTACTGGGAGAGGGACACTCGCATTTATCGCAATCACTGCCAATAAGTGATAAACCAAGCTTTTAGAATGCATTTCCCAAAACTTAGATTTGTGTTAATAGGGATTTTTATCCACAGACAATTCAAGATTAAAAAACTGACCTTTATTTTTAACTAAGTTGATGCATGTGGGGCAAGATCACCATAGGCGTAATTCTGTCAAATGTTTTCTTGTCGTTGTCTTGTTAATTGCAGTTTTAATTGCCTTTTTAATTAAGAGGGTGGGGTAATTGGTTTCACTATTCTCAAGCGAAATAGCGCATGAATCCAAATTTGAATCTCCATACACCAACGCACTCTATTGTGCAAAATATTCTTAATAAATGCATCGAACAATTAAAATTCTTTCGCCAATGTTTTGACCAATGAAATAACTATCTGACCGGATATGACTTTTGACTGTTTACAGCAACTTTGTGCACTATAAACATGTTTTCCAATCAGATAGACTATTT